GGGGGTTGGCATGAACACCTTGGGCCGAATGGTCTCCACCTGCACTCTAAGTGTTCAAAGACTCTGCGCATGCCACAGTGAAATAATTAAGCAGGCTATGGCTGCAGTCTTTCTGAATACGAGGACTGACTACAAATCGGCAACCAGTTGTGTGATACCTTTACCAGTCCCTCTGCATATGTGGGCAGTGGGTTGGTGGCAAATGACTGCTGCCTGTTTGCATTGCCATGTCAATGAGCACAGGGCACTACCCACTGCCCTGCCAACCCCACACCAATCCCGCTGCCTCTACCCCTCTGACCTGCCTTCCCCACCCCTTGAACACGCCAAATGAACATGGAATTTATTTATTTTTCTTTTGCTTGGAGTTCCATTTTTTTAAACTTTTTTTAATATTACATTTTTTTTTAAATTATTTAGCTGTTTGATGGATAAGCTGAAGAGATCGGCATGGATACCATGTAAGGTTATAAGACAATGAGATAACATACATGATTACTGCAGTCCGCTACAACACAGAAACCCTTAGAATAACATATGATTACTGTACTCCATTGCAATGATAAGCGATTAAACAGGGAAAAACACCAAACTCCATTAGTACTACACTGTATATCTCAGCCTAGAAAGAGAGACTTGATCCAAAAATAAAACAAAAAGGATAGACAAAAATGAATTTTTCTTCTCCCTACAGTGAGCATCAATAACAATTAACTGTTTTTGTTACCTATATACTGTAATTGTAGAATTGAACGTACTTTATATCATAAAAAGCACCATTTTATTTATAATTATTTGTTTTTTGTTTTTAATTCTCTCCTTCAGCCCAACCCAAGGGGTACAGATTCATTCACAATAAAAAAATAAAAACACAAAAAAGACCACAATCAAAGAAAAAAAATTTAATAGCTCCCCCACACTTATAAAGGCTGGGATAGTATTGCCCCCTCTTTTGTTTAGAGTCCCTGGGGCAAGTAGACTTAAAAAAAAGGCAGACCTTTTTTTAAAAAAAAATAGAAAAAGAAATTCTCTTTGTTTTTAACAATCTCTAGCATACAAAGATATTCAACTATCCAATGCATTGCACTTGGCTTCAGTCGAGAACTGTTATTTTTTTCTTCTGACAAAATACATGTCAAATCTCCATCACAAAAGAAAAAAAACAACAGGCTGGCCTTCATAAATTTTCCTTTAGATTTGCTTTTAATTTAAAAAAAAATTAAAGTTAATTAGCGCAGTCAGCTACAGTGCTGAAGCAGTGTGGTGGACTGTGTTGTACTGACATTTCAACTGTATGAGGAGGATACCTGTGGGTAGAACCAAGGTGGGAAACCAAAGTCCAACGAACATTATCCCTCAGTTGACATGATTTGAGATTACACTACCTGGTTAACTGAACTGATCCCTAGACTGATACGCTACCTCAGTTGGTAGCAATAGATCCGTAGAATAAAAAATTCTCTTAGAATTTAGCATCCTGTGCATTTAGAACTCAAAATGGATGTTACGGAATCTTGGAATTAACAAAATCACTCAGATTTGGATCTATGCGTTTTGTCAATATCTTCTAAGTGCCTATATCCTGTAGTGTATATATCTCCCCATGGTTTCTACTCCTTGCTTGAGCATCCTTCTTCTAAGTTCTTTCTAAGTTCTGCTGTGCTCAAGAACTTTTTTTTTGTCATTGTCACTGGACGACATTTCTTTTTAAGCGGCTATCGTTCTTTTTCTGGAAAAATGTTTTTTGTGGTTTTTTTATTTGATTTGTGTGTGAGAGATTGCTATGGAGATAGTAGCTGTCTTAGTGTGAGGCGAAGACTGTAATACGAACTGAAAAAAAAAACAGAGGCATGCTAGCCTGTGGTGCCCAATGATTCACTAGACTGAATCCTCTCGAGACAGGCTGACAGGGTTGCCATGGAGTTACCAGAAATTAAAGGTTAATCTCCAAAACACAGCAGGAAGAATTCATAGGGCCAATTAAAAGATGTGCTCGCTGTGAGCAATTTGATAAGAATTATGAAGGACTGTGAGCGGGGGCATCTTGATTATCCGGAGTGAATGGATTGGATAACAATGAGTTTTAACAATGAGTTTTTTCCATGCCAGTTGGCATGAGATGGTCAGTCAAAGGTGAGAGTGTAGGGCAATACAGCAGGAATGGGGTGGGGGAGGGCGATGCAAAGAAGAAAGATTTCATCACCCTTGACAGGCTGTACCAGACCTGGGATATCTGAGCTCTCTTGCTTGGCAGAGCATGATGAGGAAGATGGGTATGTCAAATGTCAAACCAGCAAAGAATGGGCATATCACCATGGTATCCCCACAACATCATGCCCACTCTCAACCAACCAACTGCAGGCAGGGGATCGTGGCATAAAGTCAATGAATTGCCTTGATTAGAAATTCAGAATTATAGGGTTAGCAGGAAGAGAATAAAGGCTTCCCCATGGGAAATTCAGACACCAAATGATCTATTGTAGGGGCTGATCTCAGCTTCAAACAGGCCCCCTACCTCAGAGCAACACTTCATTGAAAACTACAAATCAAGGGAGAATGGGAATGGGATCATTCTTCAACGTGAAGTTTCTGATGTGCAACCTGTCTTTAGAATCTAGCTTGCAGAAGAGACTCAATACTTGTGTGTACACTTTCATGACTGCCGTGAAGGAAGCTTAGGAACTAGAAATTTTCTGATTTTCTTCCCATTTCTCCTCAAGGAATGGGCTCAGGATTGGGTAATTCTTTCCCAGCAATCAGAAATTCGGGTTCGATGGTGGACTATCCAATTGAGGAACTGTCACAGCACAACCCAGCCTTTCATCATTCAAATATCCACGCAGGAAGTGCAATTGAGAGCAAAGGTCTCAGCAGTCTGTGGTATGGCAAGAATGGAAATGTACCATTGTGAATGCAAGGGCTTTGAAACAAGGCATTCAATCAACCCTGTGAAACCCTAACCTTCCTGTAACATGTTAGAGGTTCCTGCATCTATCCTCCAGGAACGACCTTGATCCTGCGAAAGTTACATCAATATTCACAAGACCCCCTGCCCTCTCTTTCATGTGGGCTTTCAAATCCTAATTTTGTATCAGGAAGTATGAACTTCAGGCTGATTAAAGATTAGATTTTGCCTGGTTTGTAGCCTTGAGTTACTCAATGTCTGATGGGTTGCTGTTAACAAGTTGTTTAGGAACTGAGGGAGGGGAAAAAACAATCTGGGAAGTTGGGGTCTTCTCGACAATACTGGCTGCAGAGCAGACTCCAGGCATTTGGAATCCAGGACAATAGTTGCAGGCCGTTGGAAGGGGAAAGGCTGCATGTAGGAAGGTGGCACAGTCTGGCATTGAAGAATGAAGTGGGGCACCTTTGTCAGTTGGCATTACAGTCTTCAGCTTTTGACAGAGTTGCATTGAGAGACATTGCCCCTTTTTTCCGCCTTTGCGCACCGTATTCCGAAGGCTTTCCAAATTGAAATCGGCACAACATGAAATACAAACATCAAAGTCTCCCCCCTCCACCCCCAAAGTGAGGGGGTATTGTGGGTGGGGAAGGTGGGTAGTTAATTGGGTTTCTCTTTTGGCTGCAGGTTGACCTCCCCACCCTGCCCTTCTGAATGAGCGTTGGCAACAAGCAGATAAATGGCAGGAGGGGCTGTGGAGGGCAACCATTGTCTTTCCAATGTGCCCACATCCCCTCAGCCCAGCTCCTCGCTCACCCTCTCTGTAGAGAGTCCGTCTCTCAATCTAAATATCTAGGAGGGCAACGGTGGGCTGAAGCATTGCCAAGGGCAATGGGGGAAGGTGGGTGATTGGCAGAGAAAGGAGAGTTGAGAAGGATGGTGATTTTTTCCAATGTTCTCCGTCCCCCCACTCCTAAAGTTGGGACCCGTGCCAGGTATCGGTGCGATAGTCTGATGGGAATCTTATGGTGTATCTCTTGATGGGGAAAGCTAGATAAATGTGGAGCCACACCATGACTTGAACAGCCACCAATAGAGCCACATTTCCGAGCAGCAGTCTTGGCTGGTGCTTTATGGCAATGTTTCTCAAGGAGGCCAACAACTTGAGTTCTGCCGGGCTGGGACTGTGCATGGTCGATCAAGGCAGATGGCATAGTGAACCATTGGTACCATCCTCAAAGATCACCTGGCTAGGTCAAGTGTTGCCAAACGCCACAGCTTCCTGACCTGGTAACACACTCACGCCTGAACTTGCAAGTCAGAATTCCCTAACCTTGGTTTTCCACTGCCCAGCAATTTAGAAGCAGGAAGCCAAAAATTCCAAGTGGAAGTGAGCTCAGGTCAAGGGAGCTGGTTGGAGAAGGTACGGGGTGAGGGGTGGAGAGTTGGTCAGGCTTTGTGGAGGGAAGGGTCGTGGGACCGGTGTAGGGAAATGAAGTTGGGTGTAGCTCCGTGGAAATTTCCACCCTGGTGCTTTGTGTATAACAGAAGGGAACAAAGGTTAACAATGAAAGGGGACACTGTCTCTTTACAGGTTCAATGTGAGCTGCTGCTTTTTGCTATGTTTTAAATGAACCAGAAAAAGGAGGCTCGGGTGGGGGTGGGTTTGGTGGCTCAACGCAGACACCCTCTGCGTTTGTTTAAACTGCAAGAATTTAAACACTTTGAATTACTTTTTATTCCTTTTTATAAGCTGTAAACCAGAAAGCAAAGCCAAAACTATCACTACCCAGAATGCAAGCAACAAACATTTGCTAATGACGATGACTTTTGTGTGTCGTCTTGTGGTTTACAAAGCTTACCTAGTTCAGATGAGGTGTTATATCGAGATTTATATGTTTGCCTTTGACTCTGGGATGGAGTTATGCTCATGACACAAATACACCATACCTTGTCCATTCGCTTAGCTTTCAATGGAGAGCAAAGCTAACGAAGAGATCTCTCCTGCCTATCCTTCACTTCCTAACCATCCCGCTCCCCTACTTCCCCACCACCCCCATCCCCACCCTACACCTGTCCCCTCTCCCCCTTTCCCCCACCCCACAATATTGCCAAAGGAGAAGATTGTGTCATTAAATTAGATTGTGGTTACCAAGTAGGTCAAATTTAGGTCATTCAAACATGGAATTGACTCACTGGACTCAAAACATGAACTCTGCTTTCTCTCTCCGCAGAAGGTACCAGATCCTACTGAGTTTCTCCAGCAATTTCTGTTCTTGTCCATGAACACTGACTCCTCTTCACACAGTAGCTGGAGATGTGGAGGCCACTCAAAGCCGGCTGCGGCCTGTTATTAGTTGGCAAAGCATATCGAGTACTTGGCAGTGGGATCTTGGTTTCAGTCTCTGCTCACAATTTTAACTTCTGACCCCCAGAGAGCATCTTGCCTGAAAGTGAGCTCCTTCTCCCCGAACACAGCCCCGGTGTCCCGATTCCCCTTTACAAACAGGCGGCTGCCCTGCTACCTTGGTTACCGTGGCTACCTCCTAAACAACTGAGAGTTAATCGGGTCAACAAATGCCCTGATTGTTCTCAAGCAAAGCTTGCCTCATGCCAATTTGAATTAGTGAACAAAAGCTTGATGTCATTCAAAGAGGGAGATCGGAACTGGAATGCACAGTCGCCAATGACATCAACTACCCGAAACCCTTGGTAAGACGTGCGGTCAAGATGGTCCAAACGGTCGATTACAAAGCACTGAGAGAGTACTGAAAGACTGCCTGTATCTCTCACAGACAATCACAGAGACTAAACCAACAGTCAGTGCGTGACAGAAGTGAAGTCACCATTTGGTCACTTGACTACACTTTAACCCCTCTGTTCCTGGTGACAGATGAGTCAAACACAAGAGCTCCCATTTTAAACAAACTGAAACTCGACTGAAACACAGCTAGAAATTGCTGGAGAAACTCAGAAGGGTCTGGCAGCATCTGTGGGGAGAGACAAAAAGTTAACGTTTCAAATCCAACGACTTTTCATCAGAACTGATAGTAGCTAGGTAAGGGTGGTTTATATGCTGAAGATGGGGGGGGGGGGGGGGGGGGAATTGAGCTCAGAGAGACAGAAAGACTGATAGGCATTCAAAGGGATGTTTGATGGTAAACCAGGGAGAAAGTGAGGCTGATAATGGGGACAATGAGTAGGTGGAAATGGGTTGGCTGCGCTGAAAGCAGACCATTTCAATACAGGGCCAGGGTTGTGAGCTGGGTAAAGGACATGGAAGGAGGTTTTCAGGTTCTAAAATTATTGTTGAGTCCTGAACGCTGCAGGGTCCCCAAGCAGAAAATGATATGTTGTTCTTCCAGTTTGTGCTGTGCTTTGATGGAGCACTACAGCAAACCTGAGACAGAAATGTTGGCCAGGGAACAGGGTGGTGTGTTGAAGTGGCAGGCAGCTGGAAGCTCAGGGTCATTATTACAGACACAACATGGATGTTCTGCAAAGCAGTCACCCAGCCTGCGTTTCATAGACTGTGATGTAGAGAGACCACATTGTGAGCAGTGAATACAGGAGACTGGATTTTGTTTCAAATTTTCAGCTCCTGAAGCTGGTCCAAATTCTTTATCGTTCGAATTTTGAGCATGGGTTAAAGCCGAATCTCTTTCTCGCTCAGATCTTGGAACCACGACAGAACACACAGAGCAGCGAATGAGGCAGTTCAGCTCATTGTAGGACAGCCCCATTAGATTCACTCCAATTCCCCACCCTCACAACATCACCACCCGCCCTTCTCTACAGCCTGATGCCATTTGAAAACAAGTGAACCTGCCTCAGGCAGCCACCTCAAGGCAACTTCTCTGGATCACCATAACCTGTCACGTTTACTGCCGTAGCGACAGGACACCAGTCTTGGCGAGAGTTGGGGGAGGATGGTCAAGATGATTGGGGACAGGACCCAGGGCTGGAGCATAAATATCAGGACCCAGTGACCAGGCCCTTGTGCTCTGGGGACTGGGCGGCAGGGGTTACTCACTGGCCTCAGGCCCCCATCATCCCCTTGTGCTTTCTGCCCTTGCCCCCTGCTGGGGGTCGGGATGAGCTGTAGTTCGTGGGAGGGTGGGTTTTTTTTTTGGGGGGGGGACTGGGGAGTTAGGGAGGTGGGTGAGGTTGAATTCAATACTACTACATGATAATCTTTGCCCAATCAAAATTCAAGTGTGTAAGTTAGGACCTAATGATGATCTTCCCACCCACCACACACACCCCCCCCAACACCCTGCCCTCCCCACTCACCTACACCCTCTTCACATCAACCCCCACCCTCCATCCAATCCTCGTTTACATCCACCTCCACCCCTCCCCTATATCCCCCCAATCTGCCCCCCCAATCTGCCTCCACCCCTCCCCCATCTACCCACCCTCTACACCCCTCCCCTTCCTTTATCCCCGCCGCCACTAGCTGATCTGGGGAAGGGATGCTATGGAGTCTATACTATGCAGTTGAGGGTAGACTGTACCTTGGGAAGGACACACATCAGCTCCAGGTTGGTTCTCCCTGCTGTGGATACAACGTCAGGCGGCGCTGGGGAATCGGACCTTGTATAAAGCCAACACACCCGTTCCCTTCTCTCTCTGTGTCCCACTCGCTCCTTCTTTAGCCACCCCACCCCCTCCCCATTCTGTTGGACATGTCTTCATATCCCTCTCTGTTCCGACATCAGGTCGGGGGTGGATAATACGAGCGACCCTTTTGGGAGGCAGAGTAAGCGAACCTGGACAGGGTGCGGAATTTCCGTCAGTGAGCATGTCTCCTTCACAGAGTTCCATGTGTACAGTTACCCAGTCATTGTGGACTCGTATCACTCGGCTTTCCATTTGGTGGAAGGTTCATTTACACCTTAAAGACTCAAGGACAGTCACTGGGGAGGGGGTGAAAAAGATTGCTAGCTTAAAACCTGTCCGTCCGTCCACACCCGTGTGTTACATTTTGAGGAGGGGGTGCAATCTTGGGGGCTGGTGCCTGATCTCTCTGTTACCTTTGCTTCGATCCATGCCCCTTTCCCTTTCTTGTTACACCTTCCACGGTGTTCGATCTCATTTCCCAACCGCCCCCCCCAACCCCTTACCCCTTTGAAGGCTCTTTGATCCCTCTCCCTTTAAATAGCAGGAATCCTTCTCCCTGCATGGGCAGTGAAGGTGATGCAGTTAGGTAGGGTGGGGGGAGCAGAAAGGACTATTGGTGTTGAGTGTCCTACTAGAGTTTGCGGTGGTGGGGAGAAAAGGGGAAACGCGGAGAAGGTGAAAGATCAGCGCTTACAACAACCACAGCCGTTGAGTCCTCCACTGGTCCTTGCGACTAGCTGGCTCCTGCTCCTGACAAACCACCCCCACCCCTCCACCCCCTTTCCCAGAGTCTCACCGAGATCAAGGGCATGTCATTGAGAGGGCTACCTTCACTGCCCCCTGATGGACATCACCTCAATTGCCCAGTGTGGGGGAAATGGCCAAAAATCCGGGTCGCTTTTAGTTTTAATGGTTAAGGCAGTCCAATGTAGACTACATTTTGAGTGACTGTAGCACATTTTGGTGGGATAATTGGGGCTGGAATAACTATTTGAGTCTATTCTTGTATAGTTTCTATATATTTATAAATATTTGAATACATTTATGCAACCTTTAATGCATTTGATGTATACTGAACGAGGCACTTATAAAGATAATAGTCGCGTTTGCATTGCAGATTGTAGTGTGTTTTCCTTTCTTTGAAAAAAACGTCAATTCTGGGTTTGATTGTGTACCATCTTTCTGGCGTGCTATAAGTCCACTGTAACCTTTACCCTTAACTCTTAATACTGGCTATACAGGTTAAAATCACGGTCCTTATAAAATGCAAACGTTAAATGCTCCCACCAAACTCAAAGCCACGTTACACTGCACAATGTGTGACGGTATTGGGTGCCAATTTGAGTGGAAAAATCGATTCCTATATGGTTGGAGAGATCATTCTGAACTGGTTTGTGTATTTTTGTTTCCTTCCTCGAACGTGTCTGAGTCATCTCAGATGGTTGCTGTTTCTGTTCCCAGTGTTCAGCGATGATGTCGTTTCCCTCCCCCCTCTTTCTCTCTCTCTCTTTTCTCTCTCTTTCTCTCTCTCTCTCTGTCAATTTTTACTTCTGTCAAGGAAGGTATCAGATGGTCTTGTCGCTGCTCATTGGGACAGGTTCGAATCTATCAGAGGAACCAAGACTGTGGAGAGACCAGGAAAACAAGACAGAAAATTATCAACAAGGTCAGGTACAGAAGCACTGGTCCATCTGAGCTCAGTCAGTCATCTGAAGGGGACTTCTGCATTTTCCTTCAAACAAAAACTTTGCTTTCTCTATTTTTTCTTTGTGAGCATTTTATTCATCTGAGCAAAGATTGTCGATGTCGGGAGTCCACCGCTTTCCAGTTCTGGCCCTCATTATCAGGTAGAAACAATCTCAAGTTATATTATACAGCAGAGTGGCTCCCTCACTCCCCCAGCCCCTCAAATACACATGTTGCTCTGATTCATGATCTCTCTGGGCGACACTGGCAGTCGCTGTACCCCTGAGTCGACTGTCAATTTAACCTTTTAATCAGGAATAGGCCATTCAGCCCCCCCGAGCCCAGTCCACCAGTTAATAAAGATCTGAACTGATTGTGGACTTGACCCCACCTTCCTTTCTACCTTTTCTCTCATTCTACAGATCTCCAATGTCAATGTGTGGCAGCAACTTCCAGAACTGGAAGTCCATTGGTCTACCAGCTGAGCCGACCCTCCAATCAGCTCAGAGGGAACATTGCTTTCTGCCTCACCAAAAGCCTTGACTTCCTTGTCAATCAAAAATCTGTCCATACTCAATGACCTGCAACGTTCCCTGTGGAAGAGAATTCCAGGGACTAAGAGAGAATAAATTCCTCATCTCCATCATAAGTGAGAGGTTAAAGCCATTCCTCCTGTTGTGAATTCCTTCATGAGGTGAAACATCCTCTCAGCATCTTCCCTGCCAGAGCTTCAATACGATCACCTCTCATTTGTCTGAACTCTGATTGTGTGACCTCTTTGACTTTTCATCCTAAAACAAACCTCCTCATCTCAGGAACGAGTAAATCTTTTCGGAACTGCTCCCAATGCAAGTCGGTGGGAATCAAGTGCATCAAGAAAATGCTTGCTACATCCTTTCCAATGGTTCAGAATTAATTTACAGTCAGGGAATCCAGTCCAATACATTCTATCTCTAAACGCAAGATAAATTTTCCAACAGAGGGAAGACTTAGATAAAAGTCAATAGAAAGGGAAACAATTGAGGAGCGGTCTAAAGAAATTTACTACTCTTTGGATTAATCTCTGCTTAGCTACATTAACATTGTATTTTTCTCTCCATATATATCTAAGAATACATTCTACACCTTTCGAACTGTCAACAGCCACACCTCTCGGTACTGCACTTTCTGGCTGACTGCAAACTTAATAAACTACAATCCAGTAGTTGACCCAAGTGGGTAAAAGTAGTGTTAAATTGTTTGGTGTTCGATTATGTGACAATTGACATCCACTGTGCTTGATTGGTTGAGCCTGCGTGCAGACTTAGAGAAAAGTTAAGGATGCTGTAGAAGGGGCTGAAAGTCAGAGCAACAGCATGGAGGAGGCATTTTAGAGCCCTGTGAATAAAATGCATCAACCAGTGTCATAGCTCCATGATCTAAAGTGAAGTGTCACATTTTACAGACGATCTGGACAGCTTAAGCATGTAGCCAGGGAAAATGTGACCACTTGCTGCACGAGAACAAGAGGGGAGGCTTAAACTGCGAGTGTGACTGTCCTTACTCAGAACATTACCTACAGACAGAATTCCTGCCCTGAGAGCTCCATATCTTTTGGCAACACACTGTGTCAGCTGCAGTCAGATTTCCAACCTGGGTATTGAATCATAACTGCTTCCTTAGCCGTACAAAGTGTAATTTTCTCCTATACCTGCTTGTGCCATCCATTTCAATAACCCTGTTTCACAATTCAATCTATAACTCCTCCCCCATAGAGAGATCCTCCCCAATTTTCCATCTTATTTTTAGTTTTGAGTTAGTGCCTGTACCCTTCCCTGGAGTGATTATAAAATACCCGTCTACACTAGATCACGAAAAACCAAAGATCTGCAGATGCTGGAAGAAGGGCCAGTGGACCAGAAATGTTAACTCTGCTTTCTCTCCACCAAAGCTGCTGGACCTGCTGAGTTGCTCCAGCCGTTTCTGTTTTTGTACACTGCATCACTCCTGCCCAGTGACATTCCACAGACAATATTCACCCATACTTGCTCTCGTAAGAGCATCTCAATAATGTTTGACTGTCTTTGTCTATAATTACTAATCTGACAACACTACTGTTGATAGAAATTTAATCATTTCCTGTTCAAAGGGACTGGTTAACCAGTTAGACCAGTTGACTGGATAGATCCTCCTACTTAACTGAACAGGAAGGATTGACGTTGTCATCTGTATGTGTTTATCAGCCAACTTCGGCTGATGGATTTGCCGAAAGGTTGGCCAGTTTTGGAATTTGCTGGAAACTACTGATGTTGGGACAATGAAGGATTCATTATCTTAGCAATGGGTGGAGTGGGGCAGAAGGAAGGGGAAGGTGGTTATTGAGTCTGGGCCTTGGATGGTTCTCATGTTTCTGAGGGTCTTCCTGATCCTCCATCCTTTGAGTTCTCCCTCTGACTGGGCAGTGCCAGGGGCCTTGGACCCAACAGCTTGTTCATTTTGCCGATCGCTAAAATTAATGCACAACATTTGTGTCTGCAACCAGTATCACTGAATGATATTGACGGATTCATCTTTGGCAAGGGTATGAGGGGTGACAGAACCAATGGTTAATGCAGATCAACCATGCTTTAATTGAATGACAGAACATGCTGAAGGGGCTGAATGGCCTCCTGCTTGCTTCTCTGTGTTTTTATCATAGTCAGTGGCTGCTCCTTCTCGTGATCCGGTGTGGAGGCACTTGGAAGAGCAGCCAAGTCATACTGCACACGTTGCACATGCACACGTTATTCCACAGGCAGTTCAGGAACCGCACTGAGCAGCTCATGTGTTTGTCATGAATTAAGCCTTTGTTCACTCTCCCACAAGAAAATAAAGAGTTATAATGGTAAAGGTACAATCACCAAAGACTTCCTGGACTGTAGGATTGCTCTCTCATTAGAGACAGATCACTAATGGTGGTTTAACCTGAGGGTCACCACATTTCAGGCAAGTGGAGAGTTTGAGGAGGAGAGTCAGTCATGATAACCTCAGCCTGTGGAAGAATTGAACCCATGTTGTTGGTGTCACAAACCAGCCATCCAGCTAAGTGAGCTAATCAACCCCAGTTACAAGGGAGTCACTGTATGAAGCCAGAGCTCTGATGGCACTGGGACCTGAAGCCTATTTGGCTGATTATGGACTCAGAGTCAGAAAGTCTAGAGTTTGGATCTGACCAGAGGATGCAATGTCCTTCTGCAGTGTGCATTAGAAATGTCAAGCCTTGCAGAAACTGATCAGTAATTGGTACGCAGTGCATTGTACCCAACACTCAGTGTGTCAGAACCACTGTGTGGTGCCCAAAGTACTGTAGACATTTTCCATTTCCATATCAAGCAAGATGTGTTTGTTTGATATGCACAAAGATGGCTGTGAGTGTAAGTTAAGTCTGGAATAGTGCCCCATGCAATTACACACCTACAGCTGTGGAGAAAACTTCAAACAACAGCCCTTCAATGAGGAAAGTGGGGGGTAGGTGGTGGGAAAGAGGCAAGTCAAAATACATTGGACTCTGAGCTCTTATGATTCCTAAAATAATGAAGGGTTACAACCCTCTGTTCTACAGCAAGCTGTCCCTTGCATATAATCTCATAAACTGCAGGCACTTTTGTATTTTTCCCTTTGACGAATACATAAGGACAGTGTCAAAAAGACAGTTTCAACTCTACTGCTAGTCACCTTTGAATTGCAAGTAAAAATATCTCTTGCTCTAGTGCTAAAAGACAGCTAGCTGGCAACCAGATAGAAGGGAACAAGACAACATTCTCACCCTGAATGTTGAAACTAAATCACAGTTGAAAGGAATCAAACTATAGAATCTCAACTGATCTGCAAAACTAAGGATTGTGAGACCGACTTTTCAACTACCAATGTCAATTCTGCTGGTAACCTCCACTGATACGGCTGCAATTTCTACTAACCACTCAGTTCAGAAACTGATTTTTTTTTTAACTTTTATCATTTTGACTGGCCTAGTCTGTGTGTATGTGTGTTGAGTCACTAATTCTTCTCACTTTCAGTAATGATTAAACTCTTTCAAGAGAGCCTGCCCTAAATTGGATCCTTTTAAAACACAAAATTCACTTGGATATGGGGCAAATGTATCCACAAGAGAAAGGATCCTTTAAAAATTAACGTTGTTGCAACCAACCGAGGGGCTGGCTGTAAAAAGGAATGGAGCCACTTCCTCGACAGCCTAACAATTCGGGATATTCCATTTGGAACCATGGTCGTGACAAATGCTAGACACAGAAAACAATTGTATTTAATAAGCAGCAGCCTCCATGGTTCAACTACCTCCTCTTTACGTACAACTGTAGCAGAAATATTGTAATTGGCATGGAACCATTAGTATGATGGTCTAACCCGATTTGCGAGATAAACCTTGGATGAAATTTCTGATTGATGAGCTGAGCACTGACTGTTGGTGGGATTGGGAGAATTCAAAAACACTTAGGTGCTGTTCCTCACCATCCCTTAACTCTGCCCTCTGAGGAACCATTACTCCATCCAAGATCCCAATAAGGGAGTGAAACAGAAACAGGAGCGATCACCATGCTAACATGCAACATTGAGGGCCGAAGGGCCTGTACTGCGCTGTAATGTTCTATGTTCTATGTTCTATGCACAGGAACCTCAATGAAGCTCCCTCACAGCCAGGGCTGGGACATGATGAGAAGCTTGTCACGTGCTATCTCACCATACCCTCATCCCTCCCTCTATGAATCCCTACAGTGTAGAAAGAGGCCATTTGGCACTTATCAACCCTCCAAAGAGCACCCCATAAAGACCCATCCACCCCAATCTATCCCACGTCTAATCTACTTAACTTGCACATCTTTGGACTGTGGGAGGAAACCCACAAAGACAAGGGGAGAACGCACAAACTCCAGTCAACCGAGGATGAAATCGAACCTGGGTCC